AGGCGCATTTTAATTCACCATCAGAAACCCATTTCCAGGCACGATATTTTTAGCAGTCACCCAGGACAAATCTAAAGATGCTCAGCTGTGGTTTGTTTATCCTCTGTGAAGGCGTGGCTTCTTCAACAAAACCACCCATCAACACGTTACAGACTCAATCACATGGCGTGAGCGTTTTTGTGACTGTGATCCTGGATTACAAAACTAGTGACAAAATGTAAATATGCCAAAACCTACTACTTATTCAGCTAAGGAAATAAAGCACAGGGATCTCAGTGTCTAAAAACTGCCTGTCTACAGTCACTTGTTGATTGGAGAGAGGAGAAAATGGAGTGGTAGAAGCAGGTGGCAGCAGCTGCCCAGGGTTGGTGACGGCGGGGAGGCAGCAGCGCCGGGCTCTCTCTGCACCTTGGTATCCCTGCACGCACAGCTTGGGGACTGTACTCTGCTCCATCAGCGCCTTAAGCCATTGTCTTCCTAAGCTCAGTCACAGAGTGCTGCTGCCCCCTACACATAAAGCAGCAGCCATGTGCCTTCCGACTACGCTGAAGGCAACTGTCCTCGGAGAAACTTGAATACAAATGAAAACCAATGACTAAAAGCCAGCCAGCCAAATATCTAAACCCAGTATTTCCCATTGACAATAATAATCCCCAACTGTGCAGGTCAAATACATCATCAACAAGGGGACACCGTGAATACCAGTTTGCCTTTGCCTGCCTTGTGGTGAGGCTGTCTGGAGATCATGACACACATGAATTCATTTGATCTTCATGAAAACTCTACAAAAGATAAATGACCATCCCCTCTACAAACAACGAAACTCAGACACAGAAGAACAGAGTGACTTGCTGACAGTCATACAGCACACACAAGGCAGAGCTAGGTCAAACGTGAAGATCCTGGCTCCAAAATCTGCACTGTTAATCCTTACTGTTGCTGGTAACTCACGGGGCTATTAAAATTTTTAAATTATTTTAACAGACAAAAGTGGCAAAATGATGGGAAAAAAGAAAATTGCAACTGATTTTCAGTTGGACGTCCTCTGTCCTGGTGATGGTCTTGAACTTGCTTGTTTGTTGTTTGGAAATGGAGTCCAGCTCCATTTAGGTTGAACCCCACAGAGCTATTATTGTATGGAGAGAGGTCTAAAGTTTCATTTGGGAAAGAAGCAACAGGATTGGAAGAGGAAACAAATTCTAGTAACATGGTAAAGCTTCACACGCCATGCTAAGTCAATCTTGTGATGAGACATAAAAAATGATTTTTGTCCAACATGATTAGAGTATAGGAAGCACATATCAATAAGAATCGTATGACTGCACTTGAATTCATAAAGATAAGGCAATACAAAATGGTTGCTCCCCTTTGAAAAGACTCAACTTTGAACTTCCACTGGAATGTCAGACTGGAGCATGTTCAGGAAAAGCGCCTCACCTTTTCTTTCAAGAAAGCCATTCTCACTTGAGCCCACTGCGATGTGGCCGGGGACAGCTGTCCATCACGGCGTATCAGCAGACAGCTGCCAGGGCACACGGCAGGTGCTTGCAGAGTTGGGCGCCAGGAAGCCGATGCTTCAGCAGATCAGGGACAGCAGGGTGGGTATACGTGACTGACCAATCCAAGAATTACAGCAGGATGCAATAAGGATCCCAGTGCGCACCTTCCAGGGGGCAGCACCTCCCCATTTCCACCCTGGGCAGCTAAAGCACTCACAGCTCAAAGGATGTTCGCTCATGACTAACCCGTTCACAATGCCTTGAGTGGGGCTTGCTAGCCCACAGAAATAACCAAGCTCAATCTCCAATTTAGCTGTGCCATTTGCATGAGCTGTTAACTGCAATCCGAGGCTGTCCTCAGTGTTTTGTAAGTGCTAATTCTTCCAAACAACAAAAGTCTAACCATCAGCTTGAAGGGAAAACACAGAAGAGAAACCTGAGCCCTAATCTACTTGTTTCAGGGAAGGCTAACTCCGCTGGCCTACAAAGAATCCTCAACACAACTACAACTAAATACCAGGCGAAGCCTGGATTTCATGCAGAGGACTGGCTTTCAGGTTAGTCTGTGTGTGCCTGTTAAATGTCTCCTCTTGCTGCACGAATATAAGTGTACAATCAAGGGCGTGAGAGCATTTGCTTTATTCCTCAGTAAATTCTCGCCCACCTCAGGCCCCACAGCACCTGGCACGCTGTAGGTGTTATTTAAGTGTTTTTGAACTACTGGAGCAAATGGGTTTACTTTTTATGGCATCCATTCTTCACCTTGTTCCTTGAGTCCATATTAACAGATTCTGGAAACTCCAAATGCAGCTATTTCCATTTTAAGGAAAACTGGGGTACATGAATTTGCTGTCACAGAATTTCAAGTGGGTAAGAGACCACCAGACTGACAAAGACTTCAATTGTTTCCAGCTTGTTCAGAAAAGACTAAAATCTTGGGCCCAATCTAGAAATTATCCTGTGACCTTTCATGCACTCAATTTTTGTGTACTTGACCTGCAGCATCTCTTCTCCCTAAAATGCACTTACCTGAGAGAGAAGCTGACATATGCTTCTGTCACCTACAGGCTGAAACAGAGGATTTGGGAGCATTTTGTATTTTCAGATCTGATTAGGGATGCTCAACGGGTAAAGTCTCTGCAAATGTTTCCAAACTGAAAATCTCCATCATCTGAAATACCTCTAGTCCCAAACGCTATGAACTAGGGATACGCCGTCTGCATTACAGCCCTGGTCAGAAACTTGCATGGTCCCCCTCACAGGGGCACACTACAGTGACTCTATCCTAGAAGCTGAGTTTCCAGAGAGGCTTGTTAGGGAAAAGTCATAACACAATTTCTTTCTGGAGTTGGCAAAAAATAAAAAAAGTAAAGATGTCCAGTGGCCAACCTCCAAACACTGCATCTAGCAGCAGTGATACAACTAAGCAGGTAACCATACCTTGCTGTAGGTGAGACAGGGGGGAAAGAGAGAAAAATGGGGCACAGTAGCCTAAGGTGGCAGTTTAGGGAGATTTGATCTTCCTAGCCCCCAAGAGTAATACTAGGACTTTTGGTCCCAAGATGGTTAATTCTTCAGCAACTCTTTGCAACCTATCATTTTGCAATCCACACTTGTCATTCTATAAAGCCAACCCAAATATGAATAAACACAATTTGAACCACATGCTTTGCTTACAAAAGTGAAAACAGTCATGACAAAAAGTCAGAAGAAAGTCAGAACAACCTACAGAGAAAGAATAAAGGCTTGGCTTGTCCATGTTGAAATAAGCGTAGCTTTTGGAAAGGACACTTCCTTTATATTTTGTGAGATCTTACATGACAGAAGAACACAGTAGAAATGAGAGAGCCTCCCACTGTACCTTTCCTTTGTCGACTGTGTGTTGTCTGTTAGTCCCTGGGTCATTATTTCTTTTTTGGTTTTCTTCTCAATGCCAAGTTACTAACAGCTGATTTTTCACATGGCTTTGTAGCAAGTTTAACTTTTAATGCACCATTTCTTGCTAATGTTTTCTTAGCACATTTATTCAATGCCTTGCTTAACAGTCACAATTCGCATGGATAACTGAAATGTATGGAATTTTATTCTAATGTCAAATTCAAAAGGAAGAACCAAGGCAGTCCCAGGGGCATATTACTGCCGGCCAAGGGTGATTCATAGAGAAGAGGACATTCTATAACAGCGGTTTCAAATCTCAGCATATATAAGGCTAATGGAATGTGATCTAATCAGTCGGGAAAGGCTGCACCCCACTCCCGATGGCCTATCAATGCCAATAAGATTAGCAACCACGTCACAAGAGCATGTACTCAGGAAAGAGTTTACCACATTTTACATAAAATCCAAGCGATAGGACATCCAATGCAATACAGTATCTCTGATGATCAAAGGCAAAGCTTTTCAGAAATGCATCTCAGGTCTGGAGTCTTTATGGGCCAGAAACTACAGCTCACAGTCTTCAAATGTGACCCACTGGGAGAAGATAGGGGTCACTGCTCACAGAGGGAAGACAGATGGGTCAGCATGAACACATCCCCAGTACCAGAGACTCGGGCCAGAGCACAGCCCCAGCGAGGCGGCTAATTAGCAGGAGTGCCTTCACGTATGATAAATGTTTATCGCCTTACCTTTAATTATGCTGTAGTATTCTTTTTCATCGCTGGAAGAAAGGCTATTTATTAATGCTTATTTATTATTTTTTTGAAAGGTAGAGAGAGCGAGAGCAAGAGAGAAAGAGAAAGAGAGAAAGAGTCTTCCATCCACTGGTTCAGTCCCCAGATGCCAACAACAGCCAGAATTGGAAGCCAGGAGCTGAAGCCAGGGAGCCTATCTGAGTCTCCTACATGGGCAGCAAGGACTCAAGTTCTTGAGCCTGCATGTGGTGTCTCCCAGGAGCATTAGCGGGGAGCTGAATCAGAAGCAGAGGCAGAGGTGGGACTTGATCCCAGGCACTCCAAACATGGGATGCAGGTGTCCCAAGCTACAGCTTAATGCACTGCACCCCAACATCCACCCCAAAGGGCTATTTTAACAGCAGTTTGGAATATGAGACTCTTCCTCACAGTGTAAAAATGTTGTGGTAACACAAGGGTGGGTAAGAATGAATGATGAATAATTCCTTTTGAAATGCACTTGATGCTTCCTTTTGAGGGAAGAGAGTTGTGGGATTATGGTGATATTTGACTTGTATTCATTTGAGTAAAAATAATATTCAAACAGTCTGCAATTCTTTGTACTCAGAGTACAGTAAGATAGAAGAAAAAGAGAGAGAGAGAAACAGAGAAACAGAGAGACCTGACTCTAGAACTTAGAAACTTCTCATTAAGAATCCACAAAATAGATAACTCACATGGTGGCTGCTGGCTAACCTGATAATAACAAGTACAAAAAACCCTTTAGCAATAGGAAGACGTCTTTCTGATGCACCAGGCACAGCTTTCTAGCTGACAGCCTGGCTCTCGTCATTTCAAGTTCTCGGCTAACACAGAAGAGCAGCCTCACCTGGGACTTCAGGAGAGAATCTCGCAGAGTGTCGAGATACGAAAAGTTTGAGTTCTTGGTCCAGGTTGCATTCAATCAGGTTTGTGTCCCATGATCGGATTCCTAAGGGAGACAGTTGACAGGAGTCCAGTTAGTCATTTCAGAGCGGTCTGGAACACGGCACTGTGGCATTTCTCCGGCTCTAAGAGAGGACGTGCAAACGACTGTTTTGAAGAGCTTGGTGACAAGCAGTGGGTGCCCACAAGATGGGAGGGCCGGGGAGGTCTCTCCACCAGGCCACAAGGGAGGGATAACCCACAATGTGGAGTGACCTCCTGCCCTCATAAAATGTAAGTGCAGCTTTTCTGGAAGAGCAACAGTAAACAGTTATTAGGAACACAACAGGCTTTCCTGCAGGGAAGGACCAGAAAGGGCAGCGAAGTTATGTGGTGGCTAGAAGGCCACCAGGCTTTTCTCTAGCCTTCTCATGACCTGTTGGTGCAAAGAAAACGCAGAGTGCAGGAGAAGGCACACCGCGGGGCTGCCCTTCCAACCCAGGCCTCCGGGTTTCAAATCGCGCCCTTGTGTGCATGCATGATTTCTTTACCCATTCCATCGGTTACCAAGGTTCATTTATTTAATAGGCAGAGAAAGAGAGGAGAGAGAGCTTCCTGCTTCTCTCTCCAAGTGCCCCCGACAGCCAGGGCTGGGCCAGGCCAAAGCCAGGAGCCAGGAACTCAATCCAGGTTTCCCACATGGCAGCAAGAACCTAATTAATTACTTGAGGCAACTCCTGCCACCGAGGTTTTGCACTAGCAGGAAGCTAGAGACAGGAGCCAGAGGTGGGGACTGAATCCAGATATTCCAGTGTGGGGCTTGGGTAGCACCCACTAAGCCAAAGAGCCACACGACCTATCCCATTTTTGACCTTGGTTTCTCAATCCCTGGGTATCAATCCAGTGTCTGTGGGATCTTTGATAAGCAGGCTGGATCAGTCTTCAAGACTTGAGCCGTAAGCCCTTCCCGGGTAGCTCTCTCACCTGACTAAGCTGGCAGGCAGCCCCTTGGTTCACAACTGTTACATGTATTGAATTTTCTCGTCCAGAGGTGAAGAGATGTGGGCAGCGTTCTGTTTTACAGAAGTTCCATGGACTTGGGGGCCATGCACCAGTGACCCCACAGATCAGGCCTCCTTTCACTAGATGCAAGGGAGCATCAGGGTAAGAGGTACACGAGGTCAAAAAGCAAATGATGGGGGTTCCTGTGCTCCCGACTTCCCAGGCTCCTCTTCCTCCTCCTCCACCTGCTCTCCTGCCCTCTCAGGGGAAACACAGAGAGCACCGGAGCAAGCCAGGGAGCCCAGGGAGCCCCAGCACTCTAGAGTGTGTGTGTGTGTATTTATATAAAAAGCATATATAAATATAATAGTTATATAAAAGTTAGATTGTATATATTATATAAATTATGTATAAATACTATATATAATTATATTCTGTTAGGTAAAATGATATATTAAGATTATATATTTACTTCAAAATTATATTTTTCCAAATAGAAAATATGTTCGTCTATGGCTGTACCCTTGTACAGAACAAACCTCTGCCCAGAGCCAATCTGTAGGGCAGCAAACGTACATTTCATGCCTCCTAAGGGCAGGAGCTTGGGTCTCTATATACCACAGCAGGTGAACAATCCCCAAACAAGCACCCATTCATTTCATCACTTGGTTGGTCATTCATCGTGCATGAAGATTTGGGAATACAAATGGCAACGTGTTATTTAAACACACCTCCTGATCCTTAATGCCTATCTGTGTTTACACCTCTGTATGTCATATGTCGTCTTCTTAACTTGTAAAGAATCAAGGTAGATTCTTACATTTAAGTTAGAAAAAGGTTTTGGAGATTCTTTCACCGCACATCCAAAATGTCTTCAGATTATATACCAAAGACCTTTCTGGTCATCAGGAATATTTTCAAATAGATGTATGTCCATGAAACAGACACAGAAGTTGCTCATATGAACAATGGGAAGAATTCAGGTGTGACAAAGCTAAGATTCCTAAAGAGAGGCTAAATTATCAGGGAGCATTTTATGGGTCTCCCTGGAAACATTAATGGCCTCAGTTTGCATTTGTGCTAATGGAGTATTTAAATTTTAACAAGAAAGGCATGTTGAGATTTTGTGGATCTTTTTAGTGCAGAAATGATAAATGGGTTCTTTTTGTTTCACGGAGAGCTTGACAGGTTGAGAGGTCTGAATTCATTAGAATATTTTACTTCAACATCCACACTCTATATGAGCCTGGTGTGAAAAATCATTGAGTTCCTGTCTGAGCTGCTTAATTGGTATTGTTGACTGAATTCTGTGCGCAGATCAGAGCTCCACTTTGTCTTCTGGCTTGTCAAGCTAGGTCAGTAAGTTAATAATGAGACACATGTATTTAAATTAAATTCATACAATTTTTTTGTCTTTGTTCTCAGCAATGTCTAAATTGCAACATTTATTTGAATGACTTCATCAGGGGTTGAACGTGGACTTGCTCTTGTGTCGCTGGTTGCCATTTTTCCTTTGGCTCCACTTCATCTGTCGTGACACAAGCAATTAAATTTTATATATAGATATAGATATTTATTTATGATTTAGCAATGGAGAAAGTATTAAATGAAAAGAAATCCACTTAGTAATTTTTAAATTACACTAGCAAACATCTGGTAAAATTATTTCTCATTTCCATACACCCAATAACATGAAAGGATTTAGGATTCTCTTTTCAAGTGAGCACTTCCCAGCCAAATTATTTTTTTAACAATGCACAATTGCTACCACCACTTATAAAATAAAGGTTACAATGGAGCTGCTGGCTCTTGTGTTTGGAAAGGGAATTTTTGGAACCAGGCCACTTCCTAAACCAATTTTAGAAATAGCATACTTTGTAGCTTCTCTTGGACAATACTAGAAAAAGGAAGGTGTGTTTCTCAGCAAAGGCTCATAGGGCTTGTTGTAACAGGGTTGTGCCTCCCAGGGAGCCAGCAGTGGGCCCTCCCAAGTTCATAGGATTGAAAAATACTGGCTTTGGCCCTTCTTACTTTCTCCTTTCACTAAACGGATGGGTAACTCCTGGTGTGACAGTAAATAGGCTCTCTGATGGGAGCAGGGAGGCCACAAGACACTGCTGGCCTTTTTCCGATTGTCCCTCCACTGCTCTTCCATGAGCATGGGTCACCCCTCAGAGAGCTCCCAACCACCCCTGTGGCCAGGGCCTAGCCCTGGAAGTGTGGTCACCCGGAGGTAACAAAGGCTCTCCCCTTCTTAGTTCTCTGACCTTACGAGGTAGCCATACACAAAGGGGAGGCGCACAAGCTCCTGACATTTATAGATGGAAAGGGGAAAAAAAGAAAAGGTGGGGGAAGGGACAGCATGGGACGACCCAGGGTGAAAATGACGGTGAGCAAGGATCCTGGCGTGCACAGGCTAGAGCGCTCCAAGTTTACTGCTCGGGCAAGCCTGCCGGAGTGTTCAGCGAAACCAACCATTAAAAAGAAAAAAGCATCTCCCCATTAAAGGCTAACCAGGATGCATTTCCCTAAAGAAGACAGCGAATGCAGAAGGAAACCGCCTTGCATCGCGTGGGGATGGCACGCAGGTCTCCTCTGACAAGCTGATGTTCTATGAGCTTTCATTGTTCCCACTGAGAAAGAGGCTTTCTAGCATTTTTGCAAATCTCTAAATGGTCATCCTATAATCATTGGCTTCTATTTGCAAAACTGTGCTAAAAAATGGTCTAAAGTCAGATTAGAATCATATACTAAAGAAACAATTAAGACAAAAGAAATGCTAAGTTCAGGAAGGTTTTATTTCTCAGAGACATACTTCCTATTTTTTTCCTTTGACTTAATTTTCAATTCACTTTGTCCTTTCTCGAAAAAAGCTTATAACATATACGTAATGCAGACAATGTAACAGAGCTGCTCGCTTCAAAGCATTGATAAGCATTTAGATCTCAGATGACACTTTACAATGGAAGCAAACAAAAAATGATTTATAATTATTTATTAGTCTATAAGTTAGAACTGACTTTTAAAGGTAAGCCCTTGGAGCAGATTAGCCATGAATCCATTTGATGACCTGAAGGTTGGGGACTGGCATGTGTTTCAGCATGGCGCCCGTAGTGGCTAGTACCAGGGAAGCAGTACAAGCAGGAATCCACCTGTCTGTTGCCTTTGAAACACACAAGGAACAATATAACCAACCTAACACCTCTAGCATCTCATTTGATTCCACCAGGGGAATGAAAAAAATTCCCCCAGGGGAATGAAAAAAAACGTGACCCCAAATCTTTCCTGGTTCCCCCTGAGACTGAGCAGGTTTACCAAAGAGACATGGGAATATTGCAATGTAATCAGCAGAACTCATATCTCAGAATCTGGGGCAGAAGTTACATAGGTCTGCCTTTTCATGAACAAATCTTGCTGAAGCCCAGTGCTCATTGAAGGAAAAGTCACACTCCTGAACAACTGAACCCACCAAACTGACACTCAGCATTCCTTCTATGCTTGGGCTCCTCAAAGAAAACAAATAGAGCAAAGGCAGGTCCTGGCACAAGGCTCAATCCTTATTGCAGGCTAATTAGGGAGGGAGCGACAGAGACGCTAAGGAGCAGTGGCTGTTGGTAGCGACCAGGGTTTGAGATGAAGACCTGCATAACTAAATCAATAAAGCTAGACCAGGCGGAGGGAACACCATTGTTTCAAACCCCAGGGAGGAAACACAACCAAAGCTTACCCTGGACGTTGGAACATGGTTGAGAGAACAATGCTTATGGCTCTACCTGGGATTCAAGAGCATTTGCTAAGTATCTGCTTGGGGACGGCTCAGGCCTGTGGGTTACTGCATTGCCACCATCTCACTGCAGATGGTGACTTTCTAGACTTCCCAGCGAGCCCTCGGTAATCAAATGGCAAGAACCCAAGTCACCAGTGTCCCCAATAAGATGGGAAAGGAACCAGGAGGAGTAGACAGATGAGGACCTGCTCTCCCAGCCTGCAGCGCACAGGCAGAGCTGAGCCCCCTGCAGCAGCTCCATCTTGCTTCACAGGGCGGCCCCAGGCACCAGCCACCAGCCACAACAGCAGTAGCATCAGTGACCTCTGCAGGAGGCCCAGCTGGAAGCCGTGGGATGCAGCAGCCTGCACAGGAACCCAGAGAGCCTGCCAGCCTGGTTGCTAAGTCATCTCCCACTCTGAGAAGCGATGGGAGCCGTATTTTCACTAAGGGATGACAAGCCCCATGGCTGCAGCTGCATCCAGACCCCAGGACCCAGGAGAGCAATCTCCGGGTGGAGGGGAGCGGGGAGCAGCATCTGTTACGGCTGCGGAAGGAAATGGCTTTTGCTCACTCACTCGGGTGATGTTTAATGGGATCAATACAGCCATTTTGAAGTTCCATGCAAACACCTGACCAAAGGAGGGAATTAAAAATCAGGAAGGCACCGAGGGGGCTTCCGGGATTCTGGGAATGTGTTTTCCTGAGCTGGATGGCACAGGGGCACTCATTTGTGAAAATTCATGGCACTGCTGGTGGGTGAGGTTCGCTCTCTCCCTCTACATAATACTGTGCACAATTTTTTTTTTTTAATTTCTAAGTCAGGAGTTATCTAGGAGCCCTGACAGTGTGAACAAGAATAAAAGCCCAGCAGTGCGTCGAAGCTGCCCGAGTAAGCCCCCTGGGGACCGAGGCACCGCAAGGGTGATCAGCTGGGCAACAAAGCAGCGCGGATCTCCACGGTCGCCAGGTGCCTGCTGAAGCGGCTCCCCGCTCCCCGCTCGGGGCGCTGCCCACAAGTGGATGACTCTACAAAGGCAGGCGCGGCGGCACGAAAATCGCCCTGTGATGTCCGCCGGCCCGGCGCTCCCATCATGACAGGGTCGGAAAAAGAGTGACGCTGCAGTACTGCGCTTCTGTCAGTCACCCCATGGCTGCTGTGACCTTGAGCCTTCCTGCCTGTCAGGGCCGCGTCTCCGAAATGGGGGCAAGGGTCCCACTCCTGGCACCGCACCGGGTGCTGATGCAGATTTTATAGCGTGAAAGCCACCCCCCTGATGTGCTATTATTTCCCGGCAACGTTGCAGACAAACGATATTAAAAAAAAAAAATCCGAAGTCATTCATTCCCACAATGGCCACACCCAAAGTCGGTACGAGTGAAACGAAGGAAAAACAGGGGACCCCCCAAAAAAATCTAAATTTAAATTAAATCACATCAGATCAAAGGCCTATATTTTCAAAATGAAGGGTTATTGAGATGCTCAGGCCACTTCACTATGGAAATGCCTCCTGCTCTTGAATTTTTTTCAAATAAAGTATCATTAGTGCTTTCTGCTCAGATTTTTCTGAAGCTGCAAGGAAAAAAAAAATCAGCGCTTTAAAGTTAAACAAAAGAACCAGGTCTGCAGTGCCCGTCCCCACCCTGCAGCCTTTTGTTCTGGAGACCCCTGGCAGTTTCCAAACACAGAGGCGCAAAACGAGCGCTTCAGTTTTCGCCTAAAACCAGGTTTTTTTCTTTCGTCTTTTCTCGGGATGGGGGAGCGGGAACGAGCGCTGCGTGAACGCCCTTTGTCCGCCTCGGGCTGCCGTAGAGACCGCAGTGCGGACTGCACCACGCCCACCAGCCCGCGGCTCCCGGCAGGATCGCTTCAGCACCACCCTGGAGAATAGAGCGTGGGCTAGGGCTGCGGCGGGACTCGCGGCCCCCGGCGGGGCTGCGGAGGTCGGGCGGGGGCTGGGGCGGCGTCCCCGGGGGCCTGAGGGCCACCCAGCCGGGCAGCCGCAGGAGGGGGCGCCGCAGTGCGGGGGGCAGGTGCGGCGGGCAGGTGGGGGCGCTGCGGCAGCCGGGTCGGCTCGGCTCGGCCGGCGCCCGACGGACCCTCGGGGCCCCGCCCTGGGTTGCCCAGGCACCGCTGCTCGGCCTCTGCGGGGCACGCTCGGGGTGCGCACCGCGGCGAGGGGCAGGCCCTCCCCGCGACGCCCCCGCCCCCTCCTCCGAAGACGAGACTCGGAGAAGCGGCGGCCCCACCCTGCAGCTTGGGGGTCCCATTGTCCTTTCGAAAAGCTGCGGCTGCGGACCCCGGGGGCGGGAGGGAGACGGGCTTCGTCTGGGAACCGGGCACGGGTGGCTCTCCATCCTTGCGCCCTGGGGTGGGGGAGCGGGCGTGGCCCTCCTACCCGCCGAGTCACCCAGGGAAAGAAAGGATCGGGCGGTTTAAGCCAGAAAGGGCATTTCTGGGAGGCTGGGGAGCCGTGCTGAGACGCTGGCCACGCGGGGTACCCGCTCTTGGAGTTACAGCCCCAGGTGTGCCCCGCCCCGCCCTTGGTCGTAGGGCTGCGGCGGTATTGTGGCCTCTGCGCCCCTGACACCTGCCCTCCACGCAGCGGACCTCGCCCAGTGCCAGGTCCCTCAAGGTTATTAGCGATCTCGCCCTGGGTCTCAGACCTGGGCATTCGTACCGCTCTCGGAACCAGCCCCAGACGGAGGGCGGGAGGGGCCGGGGCCGGGGCCGCGGCGCCCTGGGTGGGGTCGAGCCTGCGCGCGCCCGGGGCCGCTTACCGAGCTCGATGTTGCCGATGGCGCGCCGCAGGTGCTCCTCGGTCACGATCTCGCCGACGACCACCAGCAAGTAGAACTTGCTGTCGAGGAAGCGGTGCGACAAGCTGGGCGAGGTGGACGCCGCCGGGTTGGCGACGCCGCCGGAAGGCTCCGGCTCGGCGGCCTCCACCACCACGGTCGCCATCCTGCCGGCCGCTGAGCTGCGCGCAGTACTCGCTCCGCGCTCGCCTCTGCGGCAGGAGAAAGGATTATCCCCGAAGGTGCCGTCCGCGCTCCGCCCCCTGCGTCCCCCTCCTCCCGGCGCCTCGCACCGCCTCCCCTCCGCCCTCTCCCAGCGCGGCGGAGAGGAGCGGGCAGTGAGAGCGGGCGGGGAGGCGGCGCCGCTTTTATATGGACAGCGGGCAGGGAGCCGGGGAGGAGGAGGAGGAGGAGGAGGAGGAAGGGACCACCCGGCACATCCTCACGCGGTGGCAGGCTCCGCTCTTCCAACCGTTGGCCCGGGGCTGATGTCATCCGCAGCAAATCATCTCGCCCGCGGCCCGGAAGCCAGAGGGACGAGGTGTGCGGACAATGGTCTGGGCAGGGCCGCGAGCCCAGGGGCTGGGGAACCCGAAGGGGGAGGACACTCGCAAGCCCCTGCTCGCACCCGCACCCGCACCCGTCCCCACCCCCGCCCCCGCCGCCGGCCGTGCAGGAGGATGGGATGCGTTTCCCTGTGCAGAGTGCAGCCGGCCGCCTTGTCCGAGGTGCACAGTGAGGCCTCTGCCTCCTGACCTGCCTGGGCTGGAGCTCAGGGGCTGTGCAGGCTGCGGCGGCCTCAGCTGAGGGTACCCCCCTCCCCATCCCCATCCCCCAGGGAGACGGAACTTGCTGGCTTTGCCCTTGTGCATTTACACCTGTTTACCTAGATATTCCAAACAGCAGTCGTCGTCTCTTTCCTGGACGAACACGTCAAAAATGCAAAGCCGAGGCCGGCTGCTGCTCAGGCTTTGGACTCGGCAAGGGCCAGTGATTAAAAAAAAAAAAAAAGAAAAGCAACCAAGTGCTGGCTCTGCAGTGCTCATGGGAATGAGAGGAAAACAGATGTGTTATCTGAGATACAGATGTTCTGTTCCTACTAATAGAGCAGATAGTATCCGGCAGAACAATCTAGAGAAGGTGCTGTCTCCACTCAGCAGGAGTAAGTGACCATAATGTACTGTGTACTTCCCTGGGGAACACACAAGCAAAATTACGTGGCCATGATATCTTTTAAAATAGATGTAGCACAAGGGATTTGTATTGCCTTTGGTTTAGAACCTTGCTCCCCAATTGATGGAATGCCGCTTCTGTCCCAGGAAGGGGTGAAGGAGGGGCAGTGGGAGTTGGAGTTTGGGGGAAGAGGAATCAATACAGCTTTACTACTAGATGGCATATTCAAGAAAACAGAGGATATTCCAAGATTTCCAGAGTAAGCCAGTGTCTTAGATGTCAACAGCTGTGCCTACGGGTCACACACTCTTGGTTCTTATGGCTTTCCTGAGCCCCTGCAATGGGGGTATGACAGGCAGCCAACCACTGCAGCCCACCATCCTGCCTGGCCAGCAGCACTTGGGGACCTGCGACAAGCCCATTGGAAAGCTGCAGGCACCGGTAACCAGAGAGTGAAAGTTTCCTAGCCAGCTGGGCAAGACATCCAGTTACTGGTGGAGAGGGGAGGCCAGCACCCGAGCCCAGAGCGGGCGAAGGAGACACAGTGACAAGCAGTTTTCCAGAGGTCAGCCATTGAGTCATTGTTGCTCAGCCTTGGCTACTGATTTTTTTTTTTCCATCCTTCTGAACCACCATTACTTTGATGTCTGTGGTAGTTTTCTTTTACTCAATTTGTTTCTTTCACTTAAATTTATAAATGAAAAACTATATTGCTGTATAAATAGAAACACAATTATCACTTAGAAGGTATTTCTAAAAATATATACAATGAAAATCTGACATGATTAAATTCCTGTTACCTACCATTGTGATTTGCTCAAGACTCAGCCAGAGCCTTACCTTCAGTTGAGGACATATTGGCAAGTGTTAGAGGGGGTGTTGAGACAAGCTTGCACCCAGCTGAGCTGTTCCTGTGACCCCAGAGGGTTGAATGAAAATTGCAACAGAAGAGCTTTCTTCCTGGGTGAGTCTGCAATGAATGACCATGAAACACCTAAGTCATTGCCACACTTTGAAAAACAGAGACATAATGGCAATGGCAGCACATAAGCTAGGAGTGGAGACTGCTACTCCACTGTAACTCTAGGCAACGGATTCTCTCCCATGTTCAGTCTCCCGGTTTATGTAACAGGAAGAATGAGAGCTTTGTAACTGTTTGCATCATTGTTAAGAGGGGAGCGAATGCTGTAACAGGTGAAGGGACCTAATATACTAGCTGGAACATAGCAAACAGTGAAGACAGAATTGATTGGCCAATTTTCTCCCAGTTCCTTGAACAATGAAGATAGGAGACAATAACATTGTTATACTTCAAAACTAGAAAAATAGTCCCCCCTCCCCATCCAAAGGAAAAGAACGTAGCCCCAAGGGACAACTAATGTGTGAGAGGACCTGTGCTACCAGCTGCCCAGTTGACATCACCTGGATGTCCCAAAGGCAACTCAAACTCAACATTCTGCAGGCCCAAACCATCTGTGCTCTCCACACCTCTCCGTCACTTTTTCTTTTTCTTTTCTTTTCTTTTTTTTTTTCTATGAGCAGTACCACCAGCTGTCCCATGACTCAAGGGAGAAACCTCAACAGCATCTTCAACTCTTCTCTGACTCCCAGACTCAGGTGCAACCCAGCGTGGAGTCTGGTCAATTTCACCTTCCAAGCCTCTCTTCAATCCATCCACCTCTCTGTGCTATCCCCACCTTAGCCCATGCTGCCATCATCACGGGAGGCACTAGTACATAGGTTAGGAAATGAGTTCTTAGGGCCAATGCTGTGGCATAGAAGGTTAAGCCCAAATGGACACCAGTTCAAGTCCTGGCTGCTCCACTTCTGATCCAGCTCCCTGCTAATGATCCTGGGAAAGCAGAAGATGGCCCAAATGCTTGTGCCCCTGCACCCACATAAGAGACCCAGAAAAAACCCTGGCTCTGGCCTGGCCCAGCCCCTGCTATTGCGGCCTTTTGGAGAATAAGCCAGCAGAGAGAAGATCTTCCTCTCTCGCCTTCTCTCTCTGAATCTCTGCCTTTCATATAAATAAATAAATCTTTTTTTTAAGAAATGAGTTATTAAGTCAGACTGCTTGTTTTCAGATCCTAACACCATAATATATTAGCTGTGTGACCTTGGGCAAGGTATATATCCACTTAAGCACTTTGCTTCTTTATTTGTACTGTGGAGGTAGTACCCACCTCATGCCCAGGGCACAGTTTAAATATATAAAATACTTAAAACAGCGCTTTATTTACAATACACTCAATAGAGTTTAACTATTTGTGTTGTTACTTAACTACAAAAATTTTCAAACAGAGAATAGAGTATAGGATAAGAAACTTTTCTGTGCCTCTTATCCTCAAATGATTTTAGGCTTTAATTTCTTTAAATCAAGATCAAATGCGACCCACATATTTCAGTTGATTGATCCATCATATCTTCTTTAATTTGTGAATTCCGACTCTTTTTTCTTGCAATTTTTTTTGGATAATGGAAACATTTGTTTCACAAAGACTGAATTTTGCTGATGGCATCCCCTGTCGTGTTATTTAACGTGTTGTTTTTTTTTTTTTTTAATCTCCTGAACTTTCTGAATATTGATCTTCAGGTCCAAGGCCTCAGTCGGGTACAGACTTGTTATTTTTGCAGTATTCTGCACAGGGAGGCTGTATTTTTCCGTTGGGAAGCACAGAAAAACATGCTGTTCCTCCTGTGACTTTAGTAGCTACTGATGATCACTACCTGCGTACATTATTTCATTACTGATTGGAAAATGATAGGAATCCAATTTTATTATTCCGTATTCATTTGGCAGCTGGAAGACTTCTGTTGGGAGAAACAGCAGTTGGTTAGCCTGAGGTACAGTTTGTACCGGAAACAATGATACCTACATGATTCTCTTTATATACTAATTTTGAAATTAATGAATTCATCCCATAGCAAACTCCAACAGTACTCGTTTTGGGGGTATCTTTAATAATGTAATTTGTAGCTACTGTTCACATTGATGCCTTGATTTTCTCATCTTTGGCTGGTTGTATGTCAGAGTATTCCCAGCTCACCTTGTAAATATGTGGCCTCAGAAGTTGGAACCCAACTTCCTTAAGTGGGAAATGGCATTTTGAGACCAGAATTTGGATAGGAGGGAATTACTGCTTTCTTAGTTGTTGTTTTCAGATATTTTCAGTGAACAGAAATAGAAAATAATTTTTTAAGATGTAATACATTATGAGTTCCTAGTGGTACTGCCAATTCAGGATCAAGACCATGGGGTTTTACTTTACCTGTCTTGACTCTGTATTTCCTGTGTCCTATGCCTAGAATTATAGTTCTCAAGGTCATGAAGGGTGGTGGAATTTTAAAAGCAGATAAATTTTTCATTTGCTTTGTCCAATAATGTCTACAGCTCATACTCAGTAGTTTCAGATTGAAAAATGCAACACATTTTTCAACAATCTGATTTCTAAAAACAGTTTAAGTTTTATGTTTGTTCTTAGAATGTGTCATACCAGAAAACCAAAAATCCCAGTTGCTGGATGCTAAAATGACCACTCCTTCGTTTTATCCCTAGTACATACATAGTACTCTCACAATACCTGCTAACAATACTACTAGTATCAATAGGATTACTAAACGTGGTTTAGATATATATTTTTTGTGATTTCCTTTGTAATTAGATATATCTACATGATTATCCCATTAATTTAATGCATAGTTAGGTTCATTTGTTTTATTTTGTTGGGTTTTTATGGATTTTTGTAAATTAACAATTTTGTTTCTAATTATGTAAAATATTTACATGGGTCAAAGTTAAAAAATCTACAAAACTGCTCCCTCTCTCTCCCTATAACCCTTAACCTTGGTTTAGCCTTTCATTTTTCATTTTAAAAATGCAATCTATAAATATATATATATATATATATATATATTGATGCGTCTATCTTCACCGTGGGACTCTATGTCCCACAGAGCAAGGACCTTGTCTGTGTCCTCCACACACCCCCTCCCTATCCCTTCCAGCCCTCCTTAGCACTCCTGGGGACCACTCTAGGGCCTGTGCTCAATGAGTAGGTGAATGGCTCCCCTGTGACTGCGCCACAGACTTCTCAAGCAGTTGCTGTCATTCTTTAAGATTTTGATGACTAGCATCTGTCTTAAGGTCTCTTTCTCACTTACAATTTTGATTATTTTATGTCTTTTTTTCTATCAGTCTTGTGAGGAGTTTGTTACTTCTGTTACTCATTTTCAAAACAACTATATTGTGCATTATTGATTGTCTTCTATCGTAGATACACT